CATTCAAACAAATAGAGACGGTAATAACTCTCTCCCCCTGCAATAGACAAGATACAAGAAAGGCGGCAAGTGGAAGTCACTCTGCGTACATTGTCTTACCCTAAATTCAGTCCAATTTCTCTTTCCACCTTTTTCGTATAAGGAAAGGATAATCGTAAGTAAATAATTTTCATTTGCATAAACATGTTATACTTTTCAAGCAATGCCGCACCGTTTATCTACTTTACATCGCCAACGATATATGTATCCTTTCAACCCGACTCTCGTAAGCTTCGCCGACCACACAGCCTCTTTATCGGGGCTGCATAAACCGCGGCCCGTTTTACTAAGCTCCATTAAAAGTCCAAAAAAAATCAATATTAAAAAAATACATTTTATGCAGGGACTAATTTCTAAATTAATGTTTATAGTCTTTTTTAAATAAAATTATCAACAGATATCATGTTGGATTGAACAATCCCCTTCATTAAACAAAGATCCGTATGTGAAATTGTTAAATCAATTGATATGGATAGTTTTCCAAATTTAGCTTTATATTTTTAAACTAGCTGTTGCCCGCGACTTCGTCTACGCAATATTAACGTAAAAAAAGTAGCCTATGATATGCCCGTCTACGTCAGCTACCTTTCAGTGAAAGTCCTGTCGAAAACGGCACAGCCCTTTCGGAGATTACCCGGAACAAAAGCGGCTTGCGGACAGGCGGACAGACAAAAAAAAATAAATGCGATTTTCGTTATTATCAACGCAAATACATCATCTTCCCGAAATCTGGAATTTTTCTTTTGATATTACGACCAGACACTTCAATTTTATTATATGTATACAGAGAAAATTAAAATCTATCTTGGTAGATCAAAAATACTAACGTTGCATTTTTTTTTCGTAAAGTGAACCTAAAGTTTAGAAGCCCTGGTATATCGCTTTCTCGGCGCGACGCGGTCACATAAATGGGACGCAAAAAAAGGACTACAAATCCGACTTTATTCCCGCCGTACTGACTATGGTGACCATATTCGAACAGTACTTTATTTAATTGGTGTAAAACCAAGATTGGTCTTTATCCTTAAACTTTAGGTAATAAAATATAGCTGTTTACGCTATTCCCTACAGCTTATGTCATGAGTAACCATTCGATTATAAATATGGTATATATTAAAAAGGTGTGAAGTGCTTACTTTGTGTATCAGCTTAGATTTTCCCAAGAAATTGCAGTTTCCTTCGTACCTACGATTGATATTGAATCTTTATTAAAATTCGTCATTGTCGAGCCCATAAATATGAGTTGAGTCACGTATTTAAGGACTGGACACACAATAAGTTCAGCTATCGCATAACTGTTGTGCGATTGTCGATTGTTTTGCAGCTAATTCAACTGTTTAGTTGCACAACTAAAAATCGAGTAGTATGCGCACCTCCATATAAGATAGGAATCAAAGCGAGACTAAACACTTGAGCGAAAGTATAGTTTCAGCTGTACACCCGCTCTAAATGTTGGATGAGTAGAAATTGTGGATATCAAATCACTTTTGTGGTACGATTTAACGATTTATATCTCAACAGAATTTCCTGATTTAATTTCACGGTGAGACTTGTCCCATAATTTGAGATAAACATGGCAACACTAACGCAGACGTCCTTAAATATCTCGAGACTGGATCGTTTCGCATACCGCGGTTCAAAGCCGCCGACAGCCCGACCAGCATCGCTTGTCGATATATTTTCGGTGCTAATAGGCTGGATGCCATCGCATCACCGTTTTTATGTCCTTTTAAAACAAAAAACAAACTCTCACAACTTTATTAGCTAATGGGGTAGTTAAATCTTTAGATAAGAAACGATTACCATGATTATCTTGTTATTTTTTTGTTCTTATTAAGTTTTGAATGGAATATTCCTTTGACAGTCTGTTTAAAGACAGAGAAACAGAGCGACAAAGAAGGAGACAGGCACAGTTAGACATAAACAAAATCCTTTAATTAGACATTTCTTTACTTTCTGAAAAAATCTACTAGTTATTGGTATATTAATAGTATAATATTAACTAATAAGTAGTATTTTAATAGTATAATAGTGCATTAAGTTATTAAGTCTTAATAATGACAGACACTAGATAGATCTTTACATAGGGTAACTCAGGTTGGCTGACATTTGTCGAAATCTATTTTACTCTACGCAATGGGTTTCTCCAAAATGATTTATTTTGCGCTTATATCATGGGTTTTGTTCATAACAGAATTCCTGGAAAATCAAAAAATGATTTAAGAAATATTGCGCGCAAAATTTACCTCGATACCAAACTTTTTCTGGAATTAACCGTCATTGTTATAAGGATAAGAAGTAAGGTAAGATTAAGGGCTTGTCCCACCAAATTGTAAATTGTCTGATAACAATCCAACTTGTAAAATATGTGATGGAAATGTCGGATTTTGTTACCTTATCTGACAGTGACGTCATTTTTAAGCTATCTGAGCCTCTATCAGCCAGTGGTGGGACAGGCCCTAAATATGTTTTTTTTTTATATTTTCTTTATAAAATTGTGCTATTGACGGTATATGTATCAAAAATCTGTTTTAATTTATTGTTAGTTTTTTTTTTATATAATACGAGGTGGTAAACGAGCAAGCGGCCACCTGAATCCACCGAAATGGAAAGCGACCGCTGCCCATAAACATCCGCTATTGTAGATGCGTTGCCTACCCTAATTGACGGAGGAGGAGACGCACATAAAAAGGACATTTCCCCTTCCTATGCATCTCCTTCACCGTCCAATCCACTTTTTCCTCCCATTCTTTCCTCTAAAGAAAAGGGTAGAAAGGAAAAGGGACTAAAATTAAGCCTCCGGCACCAACTTAGTTGTTTCTGAAGAGTTAAATCTGATGGTAGGTTTCATTTTATTTTGTCCAATTTTTGCTTCTCTCTTATTAACATATATTTTCTTAGCACCATGTTATACGATCTGTATAATCTTGTTCTCTTTGGAATGTTAACATCAAAGTTTAAATTTAGAATTCGCCTTTTCGACGATATTTTAATGAACGAACGAACGACACAAGCGGCCAGTGTCTGTTGCTAACTGGATTGTTTTTTTCTTTTTCTTTATCAAACCTGCCTTTGAAGTCTAGGCCGAGGCAGACGCGGCGCCGCAGACTTGTTTGTGCATCGGGTTGTAAAAAGCTAATTATTTCTATTTCGGAATTCGAATGACGACAATGTGTAAAAAAGTACTAAATCCTGTTTTATCTATCCGTTACAAACAGGGATAGATCAATTGCCAACTTTTCTTCGAAGTAATTTACGATACTAAGTTAAAGTATAAGGTTTTTCTAATCCATTTAACTACACATTGTATAGCTTCGACAAAAAAAGAAAATGTACATACATAACCAAAGATACTGGATGGCGCCAACTTGCTTATCAGATTTCCCACCGGAAGCTGTCTCGAATCCAGATTATACAATTAAAAAAATGTTTTTTAGTCATTTAATGCTTGATAGATGACAATAAAATAAATATTTAAATATTAATGAATACGCTAATAATTTACATCACCTATAAGTATTGAAAAGATAGACAGCTAGCAAGCTCAAAGATTTAGAAAAAAATTAAAGTAGTTGGCTGTTTGTAAAGTCCCTTACTCATTAAAAAGATATGACGCTATTGTTTTCGTCCATTAATCTATGGTTCAATGTCGTAATCGACTCCAGTAATGTACGGATGTTCCCACGCCTATCACTCCACGATTCCGGTTTCCAGGACTTGTATCTTTCAATATCCGTTAGTATACGATATATTAAATATGTTAAAACATTAGTATGATTCATTTTCATTCGTACTATGTGCTTAAATGTTACTATGTACCTTTATACAAAGTTTTTATAATTAATTTAAATACCTATACGATGTTTTCACTACTTCCTATGATTCATCCTTGTTGTACATATGTTAGGTACATACGTGACAATTTATTTAAACGATGTATGTGAGATGGAAATTCCGTTCGAAAGACTGGAAATTACCACCTTCATTTGTTATTGTCATAGAGCTATTTTAAAGTAATTTTCTGTACTCAACTGTATTTATCGGGTAGTTAAAGGCAATTTCCTACAGTCATTTTCATTGATTGTTCTTGATAAAATATTGTTTCATACTTTGAAAGATAAAGATAAACATTTCCGAGTTGCTTGTCTTATGTAGTTAATAGTGCATAGGCATTAGACTAGGCTAAATAGTTAGCCATCAATGGCGATTCAGAGATATGTTCTCGAGCAATGTGAAAATGTTTTTAGCAACGATCAATGAATTATTTTTAGAAGTTTGAACAATTATTTTATAGTCGAACCTGGTCCAATCATGAATATTTGTAATAGATTGACAACAGTAAAATAGCACTAATTAACAGCTCAAACATCGAAAAACTATGTTTAATTTTACCAAACTATTCATGTTTTATTATTGGATAGCCGATATCCGATACCGATTCTATTTCACGCACTTTTTCATATTTGAGAATTTAGGCTTACAATATATGTAAAATTATTTTCTAATCTACTCCATCTTTCATCTGTAAACCATAGACATCACAAGTGACGTAAGATGTCATATATGTTAAACGTCAGATTTTTTAAATAAATTTTTTAGTTCATCTTATTCAAGAACTCTTGTACGTTGAAATTCAGTTTAAAAACAACGATATATTTTACACTGATTTGTGATGGATGAAGGAAATTCAATTATATATGGACTCGAACATCAGGTAAGAAACAATATTATCTTAATAAAAATCAAATTAACTTGTAATACATTTTTCTTTATTTCTTGACGATTCCAAGAAATGGTGGTTATTCATTCATCTATTTGTTTTTTTTTTCAGACAAGAGCATTATCACCGCAGTATGAGAGCGATGCTATTCGTTTTCTAATCGGCACTCAGAGCCTGAAGCCACAGTCTAATCAAGTACATGTTGTTGAACTGGAAGAGGATACTGGTGCTTTGCACACAAAGGTACTTATAATCATTCCAAAGATCACTTAGACTATCTTAATAAATATTAAAAGTCCACTATTTCTATAGTGACTATTTGACAGGACTTATACTTAACATAAAACTTAAATATGTTAAAAATAAACTCTTTGTACAGGTATTCAAACATGATATCGGTGAGATCTGGCATCTCCGCTGTTCACCACATGATGTTGCTACATTACTCACCACACACAACACTTATGATCCAGAGACATCGCAATGCACTATGGGAGTGTCTATATACAAGTTGCCCACTGTTGAGGTATGTTACATATTACTCTTTAGACAGAGATTAAAAAATATCAGAGTTGACATGCAAAATATCAGTTTTATTTATAATTTATAACTATTGATCAAAACTGAGAATCTAGAAATCTGAAATAGGTATAAACACTAATTTGAAAAAGGCTATTTGTATAGTTTTGGTATATAATCATTGCAGGTAATACCAAAAGATCTTGATGACTTGAATGCAATGCAAGGCAGGAATGCAGAGGATATGGAACTCCTCAGAACTATAACACCTGAGGTAAATATATTAATTACTAGCTATTGCCCATGACTCCACCCGCATGAAATTAAAAAGTAATACAAAATATAGCCTATGTTACTTACAGATAAATTACCTTTCTAATGATGAAAGAAATTTTAATATCAGTCCAGTAGTTTTTGCGTTAATCAAATAATAATCTTTTCTCTTCATAATATTAATATAGATCTACACTAGTATTATGCAAAAGTTTAGATAGATGGATGTTTGTTAGAAAGTAGCTCTATAGATCAATGGATCTTGCTGAAATTTGACATAGATGTAAAATTTAGATTTTTTTAAATGTCATAAGGTGGCAAACGAGCAAGCAGCTACCTGAATCCGCCAAAATGGCGAAGCGACCGCTGCCCATAGACATTCGCAATTGCAGATGCGTTACCGACCCTTATCCGACGGAGGAGGAGACGTACATAAAGAGGATATTTCCCCTTCCTATGCATCTCCTCCACCATCAAATCCACTTCCCCTTCCCATCCTCTTCTTATGAGAAAAGGGTGGTAAAGAGAAAGGGACTTAAATTAGGCCTCCGATAGAAAGAACACATAGGCTATTAATAATTTTATTTGCTAATTCCACACAGACAGATTCAGGGGTGACAGTCAAATGTTTAAAACATACAAAAAATTATGTGTTAGTAATGTCACTTTCTTTAAGGAAAATGCATTGGCATATCATTTTTTCTCATATCTAATACAGATATCATATAATTATATTTCACATAGAAACCAGAAGAAGAGATCCGTTGTGCGGAATGGCACCCAACAGATGCTAGTCGTATCGGCATTGTATATGAGAGTGGTGTTACCGTTCATGATGTGAACACTGGAGCCCCACTGACGACTGCCACTCCAGAGGCGAAGTCCCGGCTCAAGTTCACCGGCGGTAAATGGAACCCACATCAGGGACATTGTCAGGTGAAGTTTATATAGCCATATCTTTCATTCTCTTTAACAAAATGAGATAGCATGTGTATACAAGTGTTGCCATGACAGTAACTTATAGTTATGCATCTGGCTTATATACATTTTTCTAATTAAAACATTAACTTTTGTAGAGAAAAAAACAATATCCATGATATTCTTGCTAGTTTTCTAGCATGATTTGTAAATACTAGTTATCTAAACAAACAAATAAATTCATTAGAATTCATTCATAGAACAGATATGATTTCTCTGCATAAAAAATATTATTTCACTGCTAACTATGATAAAGTAGAAAATATTTTATTTTTGTATGTAACAAATGAATACCATAACATCAGGACCAATTTAAATAAAATTGAAAATATAATATCACTGAGTAACATAGACTAACTAGATGTTATACTAGAAAAAAACAATTTTTCTATTCCACACATACACTAGTAAAAGCTAGTCGTACATAAATCTTAACCATGTTAACAGTTTGCGGTGCTACAAGATATGCATATAAAATGCTACGACACGAGAACTGACTGCAACAAGCCATCTTGGACCATAGACAACGCTCATAGACAACTCGCCAGAGATTTGGACTTTAATCCTAACAGGTTAGAACTAAACTAATTTTGTCTATTGTTTCTATTAAGTAATAAACTAATATGTTAATGTTTTTCAGACAATTCCATTTGGCAAGTGCTGGAGATGACGCAGCACTCAATATATGGGACTATAGGAATGGAAAGGAGCCAATATTCAGTAGAACTGATCATTCTCATTGGTAAGATAATCATAACAAAAAAAAGTAGGAAGTGACGGTGGAGGGGACACACAGTATGGGGGAACTTTCTCTTTCTGTATATCTCTATTTTAACAAAGATGGATTCGCCGAAATAGAAAAGCGACTGATTTACTAACCTTTATGGTGAATGGGACACACTGAAAAAGAATATTTACCCTGCATAGTCCAGTTGTACGTTATATCCACTTCCTACCATTTTCTTATAATAAAAATGGACTGAAATTAGTTCTCCAGCTTCTTCATTTTACATTTTCAACTAAAAAAATAGACAGGGTAATCCAGAGATTTTGTTTCCAGGGTATGGACAGTACGGTACAACACGTACCACGAACAGTTACTGCTGACAGGCAGCTCTGATGCCCGAGCACTGCTCACTGCTGCAGCCAGCATTTGTGATACTGATGATGATGGGAAGAAGCTCAGTCAGGTGTAAGTAGTATAATAGGTTGAAGTGGTTTTAATTGACAAATGGTCCTTCGAGCCGGATAACACTATTAATAATAAACCGTAAACACACACTTCTTTGTTGCCTAAGATGTCAGCAATTACATCATATCTTTGAATAATTCTTTTTTTAATAAAAAGCCCTACACTTACGTCATGCTTTAGGCTATATATTTTCACACCATTAAACTTAGGGGGTAAATATTTTGGATAAAAACCCTAATGTGGAAAAGCGACCATAAGTTGCTGCCAACATCAAAAAGCAAGATAGCCAAGGTTTGTCATGTCATGTAATTTTGACATTTGCTTGATAGCAAATGTCAAAATATTAATAAAATTTTCATAATTTCATGCGGATGAAGCCGCACGGGAACAGCTAGTTAGTAATAGCCGTGCTCCTTAATCCGCAAGAAAATATAAGAAGTTTATTCAATTGTTTACATTCGTAATATTTTTAATAGTAAATGTCAATATTCAAAAGTTTAACTGACAACAAAAGCCTTTTTCATTGGTTAACAATTACCGTTACCAAGGCAAACATATTTTTTTGCTGCTATTGGTTTGTTTTTGTTCCTTATCCTCATGGCAATTTTTTCCAATTTATTCATCCCCTAAATTAAGTAGCGCGCAAATATTAGCTAGATTCGTTATAATTCTAAAACATGCTGTGATTACTGATGAGCACACATGAGAAATGTGTATTTACGCTTCATTATATTAGTATAGAATATAAATGCGTAATTTTGGATGGATGTTTGTTATTCTGTCAGTTTGGAAGACGGCGTGCTACAATCATACGAGCAGCATGAAGACTCCGTGTACTGCGCGGAGTGGAGCGCCGCGGAGCCCTGGACCTTCGCCTCGCTCAGCTACGACGCCCGCCTCGTGCTCTCCCGAGTGCCACGACACTTTAAATACAAGATACTACTCTGATAATAGTAAAAAGGTTATATCTATACATTATATTGTATGGAGATTATTCTGTAAAATATAAGTATCACTTAAGAAATTTAATCCTACCTTATATTAGATAAATGTGACATTTTAGATGCATAGATGGATGTTTGTCAGGTGTCACCGGAGTGGCATAAATCTCGAAATTTGTGGCATAGATATAAAAAATAGTGTCCAAGAACACATAGGCTAGTAAATAAGGTTTCTTTTTAATTCTTTGCAGAGGAAGTCATGTGAAAAACCTAATTTAGTCTAAATCAATCAAAAAGTAAGTAACTTATTAAATCACTTGTATTCAAGAAAATCGTAATTTAGTCAAGGAACTAAATCTTGACACTCTTACATTGCTAGGAGAGCGCTAGTGAGCTCATAAATTTGTTCAATTTATATGCTTGTTGGTTGTTTTTTTCATATTAATATGTTTTAGATATCAAATTAAACTTTTTTGTTGACATTTAGGCGTATTTGCATATTACCTGTATACTCTAATTATAAAATAGGAGATATTTAAGAGTAAAATAGATACATATAAAATACACATTTTATTTATAACTAAAACCTTTCCGCTACTCTATTGGCAACATTCCTTAGTGTACCATAAACTTTTGAAGGAGGTGATCCCATAATAAGATTACATATAGCTCTCCTCGCCAGTGCTATATTCTGGTAACTGCCTAGGATATGAATTTTCGAGTCTGCCAAAACTATTCTTGTTTTAGTAACATTCTCTATGGTGAATTTTGTTCTGCCAGCTTTGCCCGCTAATCTACCTATTGCTCTACCTAAATGGTCTCCTTGTAATGTCTTTACATCCTTAACTTCAAAAGACTCGACAAACAGGTCATCCAGACGTAGCAAAGCTAATGCATCTTCTACATCAAAGCCGTAAATAAATGCCTGTGAAAAAAGACCAAATTTGAATATAACTATTGACACATTGAATATAAATTAACACTTTAGTATTGTTTTTAAATCCTATAATGTAAAAGAAGTAATCAACCACCTAAATTTGCAGAAATAACCACTGCCTAAACATTGAAAAAGTGGACTCATTGTCAAATCCCTTTCCTATCCATTCTTTATTTAAAAAAGTGCAAAAGGAAAGGGGACTAAAGTTGATTCCAGCACATTCATAAGATGATGCAGAAATACTTCAACTTCATGCCTCTTCAAAATTGAAATGAGAAATTATATACACATATAGCTGGCTGACTATGTTATTTTTGTTGGCCAGTGTCTTGTGTATAACTGTGATTACACCTGTATATTAGTAGAATTGTTTAGATATGTTTGTTATCTCACTTTTTAACTGAATTTTACTATAGGAATATTATTTGGAATAACTAATAATAACACTATAGGAATATCATTATATTGAAGGGAGTGAAGACTGAAATGATGGAAGATTGGTCTGAAGGAACAAAACTTGGTACACACTCAAACTAAAATATGTTTAATCATACTAATATTATAAATGCGAAAGTTTAGATAGATGGATGGATGTTAGAGTTACAAAATATTACCTTAACAAAATCTGCAGCTTTTTGTAGATTAGCTATATCTTTAGTTTCCGGACCAACTCTGATTTCAACATTTCTCGTTTTTGTGTTAAATCTCACTTGAAGTAAAAGATGTTCTACAATAGGAGTGAAAATCTTTAACCAATTCTCTTTTAAAGGAGTATATCTGTAAGGAAACACATATGTTATTGTTATTAAGCTTACAAAGGATAATAAAACTAAAGCAATGGATCACTACATTATTTTAACAAACTTATTGGCACAAACTCGTCTTGCCTTTTCATTTAATACGTAAAAATCGTAGCGGCATTGAAACTTTTAACATTTACACAATTGCTTTTAATTAATTTTGAGGTTATACCTGTGGGCAGGGACTGCCACTTTTCTCATATTAAGTTTACTCTCATTAGGTTCGACATTCTTTTTAAGTCTCTTAGCTTTAGGTTTTGAGAGCTTCGGTTTCCCTTGAATGCCATTATGTTCTTCAACTTCCATTCCATCGCCAGATTCAGAAACAGCTCTTCGTTTTACATTTTTTAACTTCACAGTCTTTTTTGCAGGCAAAAAGTCATCCACGTTTATGTTTTGCACTTCCATTTTTGTTATGTTTTAATTATTCAATACAATAATTGATGAAATAATGCTAAATTGTGATTAAAGTGGTTTTAAAATAATTATCACATGGTCTACAAAACAATCACATAGGAAAAGGAAATCTGACATTGACACTTATTTTACTTCTGAAGTTTGTAGTGATGTTTATCTATGCGACATTTTCTTTCATAACACATTGGCTTCTAGCAAATTAAATTCGAATCCGGTTCTTACTTTATATTGCAACTGTACAGTTTTATTTAAACAAAAAATATTGCATAAGTACCATTATAGATTTTTTAAAATATACAAGTATAGTGCTTTTTAAAAATATAATTTAAAATAGAATCGATATTTTATACAATCGGAATCGTGACGTCGACATCCCTAGGAAAAAAACATGGTGGTGGTTATGTCACAATTTTAAGAGGATATTTTGATTTATTATGAATTAATAGAGTGGTAAGAAATAACTAATTTATTATTATATTTACATGAAAACATGGATGGAAATAGTTATTAAAAACATTAATTTGTTTGTTGTAGGCCAACGAAAAATGGCGACTCTAGTACGTACGACCTTTGTAAAAGTCTTGACACCAGCTCAAGGGGGTAAAATAGCAGCATGCGGCTTTGTACAGCACCGGAGCATAATGGGCAAAGCCCTGCGGGAGTCTCTGCCCCCTCCGCCACCTAAACCTGCACCATTCGATTACGTGAACAAGGATTATACATGGTTAAGGAGTCTGATGGACCGTACAACTCATAGAATGGATGAGAACTCTAAAGTAGTGGTAGTCGAGGGTACAGTTGCGTCTAAGAAGACTGCCTTTGCGAAATGTCTAGCCGAGGATCTTGGTATGAAGCATTTCCCAGAAGCAAATATGGACCTTCACTACATAAGGCCCAATGGTGTTGATCTTCGTTCCTTCGACTGTCAAATACCCGAAGATGCTAGAACATTTGATCATGTTAACTTCAATCGCAACCCTACACATCGTCATGCTGGTAATTTCCAGATAATGATGTATATTGCGAGATATTCGCAGTACATTGATGCATTGGCCCATTTGTTCAACACTGGGCAGGGTGTTGTATTGGAGAGATCACCTTACTCTGACTTTGTCTTCCTGGAGGCAATGTACAACCAGAAGTACATCAGCAAAGGAGTTCGCTCTGTCTACTATGAACTGAGGGGCAGCACTATTGAAGAACTTATGAGACCTCATCTGGTTATTTATCTTGATGTTCCAGTACCTAAGGTATGGTTTCAATTGTAAATAATTAAATTGATAGTTTCTGCACTGGCTAGCTTGTGGCTTAACTCTTTGTGGGCTCAATGAAAATCTAAGTTGTAGAGAAGTGAATTAAATATGCATGTGAAATTTAAAAATATAGTCTATGTTCTCAGCCATAACACAGAGTTTTTGAAATCAGCTCAGTAGTTTTTGAGTTATTTCATACAAGAATACAAATCTTCTTTATAATATTAATATAGTTGGTCAATAAAGCAATAAGTATTAATATATGTTTTTGTTCCGGTAACTAAAAAATATAATATTATACCTATGTAAAATTTTAGTATTTATTTTAATTAATTTCAGGTGATGGAAGCAATCAAATGCCGTAATTTAGATCATGAGGTGAATGGTAAAGCAATGACTGCACCCTACCTGACTGAGGTGGAGCGTCAGTACAAGACAAAGTATCTCCGTGATATCTCGACTCACGCTGAACTGCTGGTGTACGATTGGACTGGAGGTGGTGAGGTTGAAGTGGTAAGTTAGCATAATTTATATATAGTTATATATATTTTTTTATGTAACAACTGCACCAGCGGACAAACCAATTATATGGTTTTAGCGGGGTCATATTTGTGCATCTATTTAATTTGTGTTTTCTGTAAAATTTTACAAAAAAATAAAATAAAATTGTATTATACAACACTTAATGTTAACAACATTAATTTTTATCTTGAAACAAGTTTTGAATACTAATTTTCTGATGTCTAGGTTTCGTTTAGTTTTTATTTCAGGTTTTTCTTAGCTGAACTCTTAAATGTTTGTTTAGCTAATACTTGTCTCTCTTTTAATTAATAGTGGGCAAGTTAATATTGGAGTTTTTTTCCTTAATTTTACTGCACTTTAGCAATAAATTTTAATTTGCTCCTTCTTGTATGTTAAGCAATAATATTTATTTATGTTGAAACCTCACAAAAAATTGCAAATTTTAACTGTTAAAGAATTTAAGTATTTCAAAAAATCCTTCCTTACAGGTGGTAGAAGATATAGAGCGTTTGAACTTCGACAAGTATACGGAGCGCGAGGAGCCCAAGATGAAGGACTGGCGTCTTCCGCGCGAGGTGGAGTGGGCAGACCAGAGGATGCTGTACACCAACCAAAAGGACTACCTCATGAATCTGCTGGCTATACCCCGATTAGATGTGCCGGAGCTGATCACCAGTGCTGATGATTCTTATGAAAGAGAAAAGGTACTTCTATTTCCCAAACTATATTTTCCTAAAACCCCCTTTTAAACTTTGACAGTTTTAGTTGAAAATTATTTTTTCTTCGACTTGAGATGTGTAAAACAGTACATTTCCTGCTCATCCATGGACTTCAGTAAGTTGAGGACCACATTGCGAGTCACGGGTCATATATCAATCACTAATACCTGTGGAACCCTTAGGTTCTAGGATAACATGATGAAAATACATCTAGGGTATCACCACTTGAAGTTATGAATATTAAATTGCATTGAAACATGAGCTGGTAATTAATTTGTTAGGCCGCGAGTTCATGGTTGAAACTAAATGACTGATTTATGAAACCAGTTCAGATCTGATTATCTATTAAAAAGTACTGTGGAGTTCTTACATTTACGGAAAACAGTGTGATGGAACCTAAACAACAGTAGTAGTAACAGTGGTAGAGCCCGCTTTAACATCTTCGCACTGTAGGACTCGTTCTGTGTAATACCACGACCACACAGAAGACAGGCGTGACGTGGAAGCAATTCCGCGTACAGTCTGATGAGTTTGGTGCTGGAGACCCAACTTAAGTCCCTTTCCCTTTCCACCCTTTTCTTAAGAGGAAAGGATGGGAAGGAAAAGTGGATTTGAGGGTGGTGGAGATGCATAGGAAGGGGAAATGTCTTCTTTATGTCCGTCTTCTCTTTCGTCAATGAAGGGTAGGCAACGCATCTGCACTTGCGGATGTTTATGGGCAGCGCTCGCTTTCCATTTATGTGGATTCAGGTGGCCGCTTGCTCGTATGCCACCTTATATCATAAAAAAAAACATCTTGGCAAAGAAATTAAAAGTTACATGAGAAGTGAACCGACCAGCAATGGGAGATTTTTATGTTTTTGGTTATATTTAGCTAGATCAGTAATATAATGTACACATTTTCAGGTAATCTACGGACATCCCGACTTCCATTATTTATATGGATACAACAGTAAGGATGGTCCTGTGCTAACTAAGAACAAAGTGCCCAAATACTACGAATATGTTTAGAAAAACAGCATAGCCAATTAGATTGTTGAAACTGAGAATTATTTAATAAAAACCTTTTAAATGCGTAACAAATTGTTTTTATTTACTTTCTTCAGTTTATAAACGGGAAAATTGCCTATTCTTCGTTAACCCTTAAATATATGAAGTTTCAATTTTAATGCCATTGGACACCTAGAATCGATTTTATTTTAATATTAGACAATTTTCATGTTACCTTTGACTGATAACCTTCAAGTTACAAAACAAAAAGGAGCCTGTCACGAAAATGTTGATACCTTTGAAGGTATGGATTGCGCAACAAGTTTGAATAACAACATATATGAATATCGTTTTGTTTTTTTTACTATTGTTGGCCATTAGTAAACGCAGTAAAGGTAACGGTACACTTTTAAGATTAACTCACATGTCTGTAGAATTTCAACTTGTCCTAAATAAACAAGAAATAATGTTTTAATGGTTAACCATTTAAATGCCATTACGATTTTAACGTCTGAATGTGTTAAAGATAAAAAGGGGAACAGGTTATTAAAACGACAATTTTAAGTCAATCTATATTTAAGACAGTATCAAAAAATTATATAAAACGATGTCAATTATACAGCACCTTATATCACCACACAATTTCTTTAATAACAATTTTAATCACCTCAGAGTCAAAACGAAAAAAATGCATAGTTATTGGAATGTAGCAAAAAATGTTCATTTTTTCATATATTATTTTATAATCATTCAAAAAATTTGCAATAGGAATAATTTTTTAAAAAATTCATTTATAACTGACAATGGTTGCAATAAACATTTTTTTTTCTGACCACAAATCTCAATTCCATACAAAAAAGACAAACTAGAGGAATACAATTAATTAAAAAAATAACAACAAATATAAGAATATGGCATAGTATTTAGATATAAAAATAGTAATAAAATAAACTTAAAAATATTTCTTGTGCTCGTTATTTTTATATTTGGTATAAATTTAAAATTAATTCCATGATATAACTGAAATAATTATGCATGTTATCGAATATTAAAAGATTTTGCTTTTTCAAAGAAATAAAATCACTATATAAAATAATTCAAATTAACACGTCATACAAACTGAAATTAGTAGTTTTTTATGTCAAATATATTAAAAAATATTATTTAAAATGCGAGAAAATTCTCAATTTTGCCGTTAAATTACGCAAGAATAGGATATCGGTATATAAACAGTACGAGTGAGCGAGACAAAACACCTTCCAATGTTGTAACGAAACGTAGCTTTTAATACCGACTTTTATTATTAAATTCAATTTATAGACATACTAAATATGATGAAAAAACTAAATTAAACTATTATAAATATGAATTTGAAACCTGGTTTAAACTATTACGTGTGATTTTTACAAACCTGGTTTACTTTTAGCATGATCATAATTTTACAAACCTGGTTTACATTTAACATGAATCTGATTTTACAAACTTGGTTTACCTTTAACATGAATCTAATTTTATATACTTGGTTTACATTTAACATGAATCTGGGTTTACAAACCTGGGTTTAAATTTTTCCAAACCGGGTTTAAATGTTTACAGACATGAATTTAACCATAAAGTCAGTATAATTAAATTAATTAAATTACGTTATAAGTCCAGCAGGAAGGGCGAGTCGAGTGCGCCGAGCCCCGCGGCGACTCCGCCCTCGTTGGCGTCAGCGAGCTTCGTACGCAACATGTGACCTACTTGACGATTGCTGAATATCTTCTCTTTAGTTCTGAAAATAGATAAAAATACTTAAAATCGCTATAAACGTTCGGTTCTGACTATTTTAATGGTCAGCAGTCTTAAAGCTGTTGCTCTCGATTTCATGTACAAAAAATAATACAAAACATAGCCTATTTATTCAAAAATAAATAAAGGAAAATATAGCTATTTCATGGTGTAAATCGGCCCAGTAGTTTTTGAGTTATTCCAATGCATTTAAAAATACAAATCTTTTCTCTTTATAATAATATAGATATATTAGCTTTCGCTTGCGCCTTTTTTCGCGAAGAATTAAAAAAACACAAGTTACATCTATACCAAAAGTCAAACAAACGCTAACAAACATCCATCCATCTAAACTTTCGCATTTATATTATTAGTATGAAGTATGGTGAACTAGCTATTCTCGTTCAGCTTCTTCCAAAATTTCTTGTATTTCACGCATGACATTTTTTCCAAATTATTTACTCCCTAAGTTTAATAGGGTGAAAATATGTAGCCTATAGCGTGTCGTAAGTGTAGGGCTTTTACTAAAGAAAGAATTATTTAAAAAACATGCTGTGATTGCTGACATCGTACGCCACGAAGTGTGTGTTTTATTATATTAGTATAGACTAGCTGTTCTCATGCGACTTCATCCGCATAAAATTACAAAAATGTTATTTTATTGTTTACATGTGTTAAATAATCAAATGCAAATGTCAAAATACCAATTACCTTGAGTTATGGCAATTTTGCTTTCTTGATGTTGGCAGTAACTTATGGTCTCTCTCCCACATTAGGGTTTTTATTCAAAATATTAACCCACTATGTTTAATGGTGTGAAAATATGCCTAAAGCATGACGTAAGGCTTTTTTATTAAAAAAAGAATTTTTCAAAAATATGGTGTAATTGCTGACATGTTAGGCAACAAAGAAGTGTGTGTTTACGCTTTATTATAATAGTATAGACATAGTTACCCAATAATAACTCCGAATATCCCGAGTTCGGAGACGAGGTCGGTGAGCGGCGGCGGCACGGGCGCGCCCGGCCGCACCACGTACCCTGACACCTGCAGATCAATCATACTAATATTATAATAATAAAGCCATTTATTTCCTTACAAGTTTACATTTAAAGTATAAAAATAATGTACTTATACGCACTGTTTACAATTGTGAACATAAAAATATAATTACACACTTCTTCTAAAAAAAGTATTTTTTGTATCTATTTTTTTTTAAATTTTGTTTTTTATATTATTTTTTTTTTACTTTTTTTTTAATTCTGTAGGAACTCCTGTTTGGGTAAAGGCCTCCAATGACATCCACTTCTCTCTATCCTGCGCCTCTTGAGCTCAGGATGGGCTGTTTTCTTTATTTCGTCTCCCCAACGTGTTATTGGTCTTCCTATACTTCTTTTCCCTTGCGGTCCTTTCCATAACGTTGTTCTAATTGTCCTTCTCTGATCACTACGTCTTGCAACACGTCCCACTCATTTCCACTTTTGCTTCAAAGCATAACTCATACTAATATTATAAATATGAAAGTTTAGATGGATGTTTGTTAGAGTTTGTGGCCTAAACTGCTGAATGGATTTCTATGAAATTTGGTATAGATATGTAGAGAATATTCTGGAAGAACACATAGGGTACTCACTTTTGTTTTTTTTTTAATTCCACGCTGACGAAGTCGCGGGCGAAAGCTACTTCGCCCGCGTGTAATTAAAATATGTCTATGTTGTTTACGGATAAATTATCGTTCTAACGGTGAAAGAATTTTAAAAATAGACCTAGTAGTTTATGATTCATTTCTATACATACAAAAATACAAATCTTTCCTTTTTATAATATAATAATATTATTAATTTTACAATTTAATTATCCCCTTAGTTTAATTGCGTGAAAATATATAACCTAAAGTTGGACAGCGGTCGGTTTCTATTTCGGTGGACTCAGGTGGCTTGCTTGTTTGCCACCTTATAATATAAAAAAACTAAGTACATATGTATACTAAGAGTTGTATATAAGAATACTGACCAGCGGGGGTAGTATCCGCTCCATGAGTATGTATGCGGCGCGCTCGCGGCTGTGTCGCATGCGCAGCAGCGCCTCGCGCACTTCCGCGCCGTACAGATTGTTGCCGCCGCCCTCGCGCTGCGGCTTCAGCACGAATCTATACAAAAATATAGCAAACTAGCTATTACCCGCGATGTCGCGAAAAAATATATACAAGAGATTTTTTTTTAATGTTTTTTTTTTATAACATAAGGTGGCAAACGAGCAAGCGGCCACCTAAAATCGCCAAAATGGCGAAGCGCTGCCCATAGACATCCGGAATTGCAGATGCGTTGCCTACCCTTATACGACGAAGGAGGAGACGCACATAAAGAGGATATTTCCCCTTCCTATACATCTCCTCCACCGTCAAATCCACTTCCTCTTCACAACCTCTCCTAAGAAGAAAAGGGTGATAAAGAGAAAGAGACTTAAATTAGGCCTCCAGCACACACTTATCAGACGAAACACGGAATTGCTTCCACTTCACGCATGTCTTCTGTGTGGTCGTGGTATTACTGGGGGCGAGCCGACCCTGCAGTGCTAACATGTTAAAGCGGGCACTACCACTTTTAAATAAAAATATTAGTAGATTTATGTTAATTTACTGGTATTTCCATTAACCATTCCAACTAAGCTCTAGACTTGTGCTAGGATATGGTTCACGACAGTCGAATGGCGGGATTCGAACCCTCGACCGCAAGATCGGTAGTCCGTACCAAACAATTAGGCTATTGGCGCTTAACTTCTAAAGGGGATGATTTTGTTTTAAATTTGGGCTTTGAATAAGATACGTTGAACCGTAGAATTATCGAGTAAACTTGAAAAAACTATTATCCCTTCTTTACTCACTGCTATCTAGTGTAAGTTAATAAGTTATAGTTAATAAGTTATTTGTCGGAGTTTGTCTCGTTGTATGAAAGGCAATTTTTCTAACGTAAATGATAAATATTTAACTCTTAAATGCATGATAATGCATTTATACATCAGTCTTCTCTTCCACACCTAATAGATTAATTAAAAAAAAATCCCTTGATCTACGTTCGATTTAATGTATTTAAAAAAAAACGCATTTAACGGTTAATGTTACCTCTCAGCATCAGCTAACGCCATATCGACTGCCCTCTCCCCACTCTCGTCGAAGTCCAGCGAGTACAGGCCGGTGAAGATGTCGCGGACGCTGGCGGTGGTCGCGCCGCCGCCCATGAACTTCTCCAGCACGCCGGGAGACGCCAGCGTCTGCTGCACTTTCTTTGTGCCAGCTAATTGATACTGTATCGATGGACATTTTATCGCTCTGTAAGGTAGAGAAATTGCCTACTTGTATCAGGAAGTTTTTTTTACAACAAGGAATCAGTCCTTTAAATAAGAACACAACAACAACAAAAATTCCTGCCTCCATAACCGTTTTGTTCAAATAAACCCCCAAATATAATCGATTTTTGTACACAGGGTCTGTCCCTCAACTGGCTGACAAAGGCTCAAATAGCTTAAAAATGACGTCATTGTCAGATAAGAGAACAAAATTCAACATTTCCATCTTATAATATACTACTACACTAATATTATAAACGCGAAAGTTTAGATGGATGGATGGATGGATGTTTGTTAGAGTTTGTATCCTAAAGGATTGAACGAATTTCGATGAAATTTGGCATGGATGTCTAGAAGAACACATAGGCTATTCACTTTTGATTTTTCAATTTCACGCAGAAAAGGTACGGACAAAAGCTAGTATTTTATACGTTATCAGACAATTTACAATTTAGGCTTACTAGACAGGCTTTTAGTTTTATTATACGCAAACGGCAAACGCCAAAATAGCGAAGCGTTGCTCATAAACATCTGAATTCGTCGCGTCTTCTATCTTAATCGACAAACAGAAAGAGGATATTTCCCCATATAAATCCCCACCTCCATCAAAACCTTCCCGTCATTCCTTATTGTTTCTTCTAAGTAACATTTTTGCCTTTAATCCTGATTGGAGATAAAAGTTAACTTTGTTATACTTACGAGGACCTTTCTACCCTCAGCCGAGCGTCCCACTCGCGAGAGGAGGGGTACTGCGAGGGCTCGTAGCCCGACCTGTAGTACACCACCGCTACCGGCCGCCCCTCCCTGTCATACATACCCCATTAGTCATTACTAAGTCACTAACAGCCTTATAAATAAACGCGGTATAAAGTTAAATTTAGGAATAAACTGACTGTAAGCAAATATTAGTACAAATTTTGCTCAAAATTTATACCGCGTTTATTTGTAAGGCTGTAAGGGCCTGATTTAGTAACCACTAATGACCTTCGCACGGGACCAATGCTGATAAGGAAATAAATTTATTTACATCACAGAAATCTCTAAAATTATCAATATATCTATACTATAAAGAAGAAAGATTTGTATTTTCATATGTATTGAAATAACGGTTGGACAGATTTAAAAAATTATTACACCATTAAAAAACTACGTTATCAGTGTGTAACATAGGCTATATCTATACTAATATTATAAAGCAGAAAGATTTGTATTTTTGTATGTATTGAAATAACTCAAAAACTACTAGGCCGATTTTAAAAATTCACCGTTACAGAGGTAATTTATCTGTAAGTAACATAGGCCACATTTTTTTATTATTTTTTTATATTTCACGCAGACGAGGTCGTTAGTTATAAATTTATAATTTCACCCGGAAAGTGGCGAGCAACAACTAGTGTTAGATAAATACTCAAACTCATTACCGAAGTTTACGAGATAAAAATGTTTATAGTTAACCGATAAAATAAACGATACTTACAATATTAATTGCTTCTTATCATTGACTGTTGTCTCTTCATACAATTCGTTCAAAGTCTTTCTATGTATCTGAAAAAAAAAAAATATTATTACAACTAATAATTTAATAATGTCTCTCTATTCTAATATAATAAAGCATAAACACATTAAGTTATGTATATCAGCAATCAGAGTATATTTTTGAATAACTATTTTTATAATAAAATGCCCTACATTAACGACACGCTTTAGGCTATTAAACTAGGAAATAAACAATTTGAAAAAATCCTTCATGCGGGAAAGAGACAAAAACTACAAGCTGACAACATAAAATTAGTAAGGTTGTCATACTAACGGTAATTGTTATCCAAAGTCGAAGGCCTTCGTTGCCATTTTTTTTATTTGGATTTTGACATTTTCAATTGACAATTTCAAAAATCACACTATACTAATATTACAAATGAGGAAATTTATTTGGATGGATGTTTGTAAGAGTTTGTAGCATAAACGACTGAACGAATTTCGATGAGATTTGGGACAGATGTAGAGAATAGTCTAGAAGAACACAGGCCACTCCCTTTTGTTTTTCTAATCCGGACGGAGTGTCGGGCGAAAGCTAGTGTAAACATAAAGTTTTTTATAATCGGCGGATCAACTAGTGGTTGATAATTACCATGATGTCGGGCCTTTTCTCTGATATCTCAAACTCATGGAACCTCTGATCACATATGTTGTATGACACCTCTTCTACCACAAATATTATGATGGCACTTGCGACACCGAAAAGGTCATATGCCTCGATTATGCCACTACAAAGTCCTGATAGAGCACCGTTCTCTGGCATCTGGAAAATACAAGTCACGATGTCCACATAATTTCACAAACAATATCCTGTTTTTTTTCTTTAAAGGAAGAGAAAAGGAAAAGGATTTAGCAGGGGAGGGAATGAAATATGGTATTTTCTCTCTTTACTTCTGTTTCAGACGTCTGTTCAGCGACCAAGTTGAAACAATCGACAATAGCGTAGCAATTGTGCGATAGTTTTTTTTTTATAATATATGGTGGCGAACGAGCAAGCGGCCATCTGAATCCACAGAAATGGAAAGCGACTACTGCCCATAGACATCCGCTATTACAGAAGCGTTGCTTACCCTTCATTGACAGAGAAGACGCACATAAAGAGAACATTTTCCCTTGCTATGCGTCTCCTCCACCGTGAAATCAACTTTTACTTCCCATCCTTTCCTTTTAAGAAAACGGTGGAAAGGGAAAGGGACTAAAATTAGGCCTCCGGCACCACACTCATAAGACGAAACGCGGAATTGCTCCCACTTGACGGCTGTTTTCTGTGTGGTCGTGGTATTACACCGGGCACGCCGGCCCTACAGTGCGAATATGTTAAAGCGGGCTCTACCACTCTTAGAATTTAATCAAATGCCCGCTAAACGTTTGGGATAGTTTAATGTCATTTAGTAACATAGTTTAATTACTAACCTTTTTAATAAGATCTCCATGTCCCAACTGGCGAAGAATATAGCTGAAATACAAATAAAATGTGTAACAATCATTCAAAAATTCATACAGTTTCCAATTTATTGTTTATTGCAACAAATACATTTTAATTAGAGTGAGACAGCACTATCTGAACTACATTCAATAACATACTTTTCAAATATCTTATCGGCTCGGAACACACGAATAAAGCTGAACTTAGAGAGCGCACATTTGACAAAACTATCGCACAACTATTGTGCTATTATCGATTGTTTCACAGTCAGTTCAGTTGCACAACTAAAAATCGAGTATGCTTCTCCATATAGGCTCCTATGAATCAAAGGGAGACAAAACAATTGTGCGATAGTATAGTTTCAGATGTTCTCAAGCTCTTAATGTTGTAACGATGCATGCAAGGGAAAGGCATATAACTGAGCTGGCAAGATAATTGAAGAATTATATCTTCTACTAAGAATATTCAAAATACAAACATACAAACAAACAACATGCTAACTTCTATAATATATTTAAAATTCCCTTTGCAACTTTCCACTTGCATAAAAATATACTATCTCTTTTTCTGCTTTTTTCTGTTAACTTTTCAGTTTCAAAATAGTCGATCGCTATACTACTAAAAATAACAGAATTGGATTTATAATATGCATGCAGAACAGCTGAGGCAAAAGGCATGCTAGGAAATGCAGTTTAAAATGTTAACATCCATGAAAACCCCCTGGGTGTTACGGAACCCGGCAAGGGGTGCAAGATGGAAAGAAATTAAAAAGGAAATATAACAGCAGATTTACTGGAACAGAATGAATTTCTAAAACAGTCTATGAAAAATATGGGAAGTTCTAGAATTATCGCTCTTTTTTGTGACTGAATGGTCACTGCTTGCCTTGAAGAGGAATTTACAGATTCACCGGGCTTGATGTGGTCGAGCGCAGATCGCGCTTAGCCTAAACTTCGTGAGCCTAAGGGCTTGTCCCACCACTATATAGAGGCTCAGATAGCTTAAAATGACGTCACTGACATATTAGGGAACAAAATCTGATGTTTCCATCACATATTTTACACATTCGATTGTTATCAGACTGTTCAAGGAGTTTTTACACTTTTTAGGTCTTAAGCCATTAGAAAAGAAGAAGAATTTAAATTATTTAAAATTAGAACACATTGTCGACGTCATCGTTTTTTCTATGTCTTTTTCTGTACATATTTTACCAATACACATGTCTCCGTTAAAAATAGTTCTATTTCTAAATCTTTTACGATATATATTTTGGTCCTTCGAGCCGGATTTGAACCAGCGACCTATGGATCGCTGAAATTTACAATTTGGTGGGACAGTCCTTAAACCTCGTAAAGAATTATCGCGTTCATTAAATACAGTTTGGGCACTATCTATTCACTAATAATATAAAAACCCAAGCAATAATTACTAATAGACAAACCAAATAAATAGAAGTAATAATAAAGATTAGTGCAAAAAACTCACACAAGAATTACATGCGTTTAATACATAATGTGGTTTGTTTTGTGAAGTGTATGTATTCTTGAAGATAGACATTTCTATCTAATTAATATTACAAAGAGGGAAGATTTGTATTTTTGTACGAGTATGCGTTGAAATAACTTAAAAACAATTGTGCTGATTTTAAGAGTTCTTTAACAATTACAAAGGTAATTTATTGCTGAATAACATAGACTATAATTTTTTTAATATCACGCGGACGAAGTCGCGAGCAACACCTATAATTAAAAATATAATATGACTACGAATACAACGCTTTTTATTTGGGTAATTTTCTTGAGTGTTATGTTTTGCATTACTAATTGACACTTCGAATCGACTCTCGATTTTAACGTAAAATTTTTATGAAACACTCCATCTGTAGGTGATTTTTTTTATAATATAAGGTGGAAAACGAGTAAGCAGCCACCTGAATCCACCGAAATGAAAAGCGACCACTGCACATAAACATCTGCAATTGCAGATGCATTGCCTACTCTAAATTGACGGAGGAGGAGACGCACATAAAGAAGACATTTTCCCTTACTATGCGTTTCCTCCACCGTCAAATACACTTTTCCTTCCCATCCTTTCCTCTTAGGATAAGGACTGTCAATCAACTAGCACAGCGTGAACTAGCGCCAGTGAGTTACAAATGACTGGCCGTCGCAACTGTTTTACTGTACTGGCCAAGTGTTAACCGAGAAATCGCGAATTAATCGGAATTGCTTTCCTGTTTTGCTAAATTATAAAGTTTTGAAACCATAAAAGTTTGTAACAATATAAAATTCTGAAATTTATAACAAAAGTAACAATGCGATATAAACCTTTGCGAGATTATGTAACATTTGTGGCAAGAACTAACGATTATTTATCTGACAATTGTCATTTTAACTTTCATCGTTAATGTTACTAGTGATGGGACATCATTGTAAAAAACGATTAATCGAATATCGATATTTTAGTACAATCGATTAATAATCTTATCAAGATCATATACTTGGACATTACTAATTTGTATTTTTGACCGTATCATGTCACCGATTTTATCGACTAATTTCCGGAGCCGTCGGTAAAACAGCTGGAGACCTTAAGACTGTTTTACCGACACAAACAGCTATAGAGAATACCGCCAATCGAAACTAACGTCGTTTTATCGAACCCTTTTATTGTTTACATGGACTTTACATATAATTATATACAGGGTGACCGGTAATACTAACGATATTGTTCGAGAGCATTCTGAAATTTTCGTTAATGTTATATAATGAAATTAAGCATTTTATTTTTTACAAAATTTCCCTACAGAAACAATTCTGTGTTCGCGTAATGTATCATGTTTCCGCGTATGATCATGCTTGACGAAATTGTTTAACTTTTAATTAGGTTTACTCAGCAGTATGTCAATATTGATTTTTTTCGTCCTATATTCCATCCTCGAGTATCATCATTTACACACCGGTCACCCTGTATATGATTGAATGGATCCAAGCTAAACACTGAACCGTTTGAAAGATGTACCCTAAGCCGAACGCTGCAATGAATGGACAGAAGACACGATACATCGATTAAAAAATAAATAAAACGCGGCAACCAACACAAAGACCGACAACCAAGGCCTCAGGTAACATCTCTCAAGTGATACTACTCAAGCTATGCGCTCAAAAATACATGCACTCAACATTTCTATATCTAAATCGATTCAAAATCTGCAACGTCAAATTGATAAACAAATTTTACATTACGGTGCAAATAAAAAACAAAAGCATAAGCAGTGCGTACAGATAAAAAAAGAAAAATACACCAAAAAAGCAAGATCCATAGTGATGTGAAGATGATTGCATAGCGTGCGTTTGCAGATAGCAGTCACATGAGAGATGTTGACTGAATCGTTAATGTGTGTGAAGCATGAAGATATTTGAATTTGGAACACATTTGAAAACATGTAAAAAAAAATGAAAACCCCAATAAGTCACGTGTCACACACACAACGACAGCACAAAATGTCGGTACCGAGACATGGCGGGCAGGTTGGAGGTGATGGCGCCAAAACTGGAGGCGATCGTGTTAAACTCCACTTGCTTTATCGTGTTGGCCTCCGTACACTGCATCAGGTAGTCGGAGCGGAACAGGCCGAGGCTGATAGACTGGAACACGTAATTTTTTTTTTTAATTCTGTCCACTCATTACATTAACATAACCTAAAAAGCTCCCGCAACCAGCACTAAAAATTAAGATTAAATTATCAAATACGTCGATGTTATTTTTTTATTTTACACACTCTAAACACATAATATTAATTTTAAAAATATATTGTTTTAGTCTAGATTCCATTAAATTATGTATGAAGTTATTGTAGAAAATTTTTCAACCATTCCAAAACTTTTTGCCACAAAATAGTTCTAACTGAAATAAAATATCTGTTTGCATAATCTTAAACCACAACGAGGTCATCGCACAATCAATTCATATAATTTTCCTTTGATCCAATTGGATTTCGAAAGAACATTTGCAATCTTAACCACAGCCAAAGTATTGCAATAGCGTTTACAAATCCTAAACTAAACCTTCAATAACAACTCTCACAAATAGATTTTGTCTATGATTTCAAGATAATATTTTCTTTAATCATTAATAAAAAAGGTAGCACAATAGATACCACAATATCTATACTTCGTACCAACATAAATGCGTAACTTTAGATGAATGGATGTTTGTTAGAACTTATCGCTAGAATAGCGGAAAGGATCTTGATGAAATATGGCATAGATGTAGAATATAGTCTGATAGAACATGTATTTCACTTGCTATTTTATATTATAAGGTGGCAAACGCCGAGCGGCAAACTGAATCCGCCAAAATGGCGAAGCGACCGCTGCCCATAGACATTCGCAATAGCGTATGCGTTGCCTACCCTTCATTGACAGAGAAGACGCACATAAAGAGAACATTTTCCCTTCCTATGCGTCTTCTCCACCGTCAAATCCACATTCCCTTTCCATTCTATTCTTATGAGAAAAAGAGTGGGAAGGAAAAGGGATTAAAGTTAGGCCTCCGGCACCACTCATCAGACGAAACGCGTAAATGCTCCCACTTCACACCTGTCTTCTATGTGGTGGTAATTGACGGGCGAGCCTATCCATTGTGCGAAGTTAGTACGAGCTCTAGTTAAATTCACAAACATACTCGCAGACGAAAGTCAGTCTACCATATTAACATTCTGTAAACACCCATTAAAATGATGAACAATCTATACATATAATGTAAGTATAATGATTGCATCGTCATTGTGTTGTGTTTACATGACACAAGTGATATAGTTGACAAAACTTTCCAGCTAATACAATAGTGTTACGTTCGATTTAAATTTTCCTCTTTATTGTTTGGTCAACATACAAATGTCCACATTGTACCATATTGACAGACAAATCGTTACATTAGTTTAGCTAAACAATGATATCTAGACGTGAGGCGGCATTGGTTTTGTAATAAAAGTATGTAAAAACAGTCTTTCGTACGAAAAAACGTTGTACAAAGTAATAAAAGCACTAGAAGCCGAGAGGGATAAGAGGCCTATAATAAATTAGGACCGCTGTCGGTAATAACCAGTAACTAAATTTAAATGCAAAATAAGTAATTTTGAATAATGTATTATATTGAATTGTAAAGTTGATTTTATCGCTATCTGATGAAAAAAGTTTCATCTATTACAATACAATATTATAAAGAGAAGATTTATATTTTTGTATGTATTCGTTTCACGTAAAAACTACTGGGCCGATTCCAAAAATTCTTTCACCATAAGAAAGGTAATTTATCTGTGAATAACATAGGCTACATTTTTTAACTTCACGCGGGCGAAGTCGCAAGCATCAGCTAGTTTAGAATATGTTTAATTAAACTATGGACGAAACTAATATGTTGAAGTTTTTAAGGTGGAGATAAACAGGGAGTCGTTATAACACTTGTATTATTTACTTTACTTTTAAAGTTAGTGTTAGAGGAATAAGTTTGGGAAACTCTGGAACTATCAAAACATAGTTTCACTATGACGTCAAATATCTTATCAGTCTATACAAATAATTACAATTCTTAAGACTTAAACTGCATTTACACTTGTAATAACATAATGCTGTCGCTCATAATCTTATTGAACAAAGTGAGAAACAATATATATATGAAGACAGTCAATTGTTATTTTAATTTTAATATATTCACGGCCGAATACTGGAACGAATCTTTAACACTGCACACACATAGATTGTAAATCTAACAAACAGTCAAATTTTAATGGAATCTGCCTTTTAAGCATGGCTTTATTATTTTAAGCCACCGCTGCCCATAAACATCCGCAATTGCAGATGCGTTGCCTACCCTTATTGACGGAGAAGAAGACGCACATAAAGAGGACTTTTCCCTTCCTATGCGTCTCCTCCACCGTCAAATCCACTTTTACTTCCTATCCTTTCTTCTCAAGAAAATACTGGAAAGGGAAAGGGACTGAAATTAGGCCTCCGGCACCACACTTATCAGACAAAACGGGGAATTGCTTCCACTTCACACCTGTCTTGTGTGGTCGTGGTGTTACACCGGGCGTGTCGGCCCTGCAGTGCTAAGATGTTAAAGCGGGCACTACCACTGTTATAAGTTATTATCTGTGATTTATCCAAACCGTTTTTGTTTCGATATTAGCATTATAGAAGCGTCTAAAAAACTCTCAAGAGACTATAATGTTAAGCGCAAACAATTAGTCATAAAAAATTTTAAGCTTGTTAATAATTAACTGACTGTAACAGTTACACTAAAAATTTGAAATAATTGTTACTTTAAAACTACCTAGACACATAAACGTTAAATCCTTTTTAAACAATTTAATAGATTTTTTAATATGCAATATTTTTATTAGTATTTAATATATTAGTGAAATGGAATTAGCTTAAATTAACTTAAAAACATAACAAATTTGGAATATCTAACGAAAAAAATTAGGATATCAACCTCACTTGTATAGTAACGGCCGAATTCTGAAACGAATTTTAAACTTCTTCGTAAACGTCGCATACAATCTATCAGATGACAGTATTTTATTTAAGATGCTAATAAATTCTTAAATGTCGTTTCAATATTTGGCCATATAATCTGTTTTTTTAGTAAAAACCTAATTGCAAATTTGAATTACTGTTTCACACCATAGAACTTTGACACCAATCACCACTAAATCCCTACAAAAAAACTACAAAACCATTTCCATCATATGTACCATAAAAATATGGTCTTCAATTAGTACTGACAAGTTATGTATAGTATTCCATGTGTATAAACAGTGCATGTATTCAAGCGCTACATAGTTAATTACAAAAACTACATAACAATTGTAGCTTAACAGTGGTTGAACATCAGCTACCTCTGTATGTCTCTCGATATCGGTCCAAGGTGACCAAATCCCGACGCTATGCTGTTGATTTCCACCTGCTTCCAAGAACAATACGGTGTGTGCTTCGCGCACTGGTTCACTGTATGCGGACACCTTGACTCCAGCATTATGTCCGAGCGCAGCATGCCAAGTGTTATAGGCTACGCCATACCAAATATAATAATTATCTCCATGTATCATGCATGCTAACCCTTTGCCAGCATATGAAGTATACACCCAACATGTTTTATTATTAAAAATTTGTAAATCGCTTAAAAGATACTGTTTGTAAAAAAATTAAAAGACAACCAAAATCACCTATTTTTCCCATTATCATTTAGCTAAGGCATATTTTATAAGTAAATAAAACCTACCTATATGCACACATTAATTTAGAAAAAAATCCTTTTGAATATCTATATAATAATAAAATTAGCATATTTAGCATACACACAATAATTTATTTAATTTTTATTTACCTGAGTTATTCCTTCTTCGCGTACTTTTATCCATATATCATAAAGATTTGCTGTGAACTCATCAACTTGTAATGCATTTTGTAATGTATGTTCTAAAAATTCCACATCATGAGCAACCTAAAAATAAATTAAAACCAATTATTAATCACTATTCTATGTAATTTAATTAGTTAATTAATATTTGAAGTTAAGTAATCACTCAGATAACTAGATTATAACTGAATTGTGGTCCTTACATTTAGTAAGGAATGAAAACATTTTAAATTCTAATTTATAAATTCGAAAGTGTAGATGGATGGATGTTTGTTAGAGTTTTTAACCTAACCAGCTGAAGGGATCTCTATGAAATTTGGCATAGCTGTAGAGGATAGTCTGGAAGAACACAGACTACTTGCTTTTTTTTTTATTCCACATGTACATAGTTGTGGGCAAAAGCTAGTTATCTAATAAAATTAAATTACATGTTGCATGGGGTATGAGTTCTCAAAAAGGGTTTTAGTTACTACAGGTTTCATGTTAGGTGAATTGAAACATGTAGCTTCTATAATGCCAATATGATAATTGTAAAGGATATTATTTCCGATAATGTTGTCAAGGGTTTGGATCATGCCATTTGAATATTATTGTAAACTATTTCAAGCTAGCCACAAGCTCAGAGCTTAGTTGGAATGGTACAAGAAATATTAGTAAATTAACG